GATTGACACAATCTTAACATAATATACACAAATGACACCATTGTGATGGTAGACAGAGAAAAGAAAATGCAGGTACTCCTCGATAAATATGTTGCTGTCACTACTATTAGCTCAATTAAATGCAATAACAATAAAAAAAAATTTAACAAGCAAATGACAAATAAATAAACACGTTTTTCTTTAAAATAACAACAATGAATTTTCAAAAAAAAAAAATGGGGGCAATGAGTAAATGTGTGTGTGTGTGTGTGTGTGTGTGTGTGTGTGTGTGTGTGTGTGTGTGTGTGTGTGTAAGTGCTTGACAGTTGTGGCAAAATTACATGCTGGACAGTAGTTGTTGATGGAGCAGAAAAATGGGAAAAGAGAAAGAATTTTGAAGACGTGATGCTTTTTATATTCATGCTACGTGATACTAGTCACGTGATATACACGTCTAAGGGTGAGGATTAATCCAACTCCGCCACAATTGTTTTGGTTACTTTTTTTATTGTAATGTTGTTTTCTACAATTATGAAAGTAAAAGCGAAAAGGAAGGACTAACAAGTAATTGCTAAAAGACATAATATATTGTCAGAAAGAGGAATAGTCCAAAAGGTTGTCTATTAATTAGAGATGACTTGTATGTACTTGGGTTAACGTTTTCTGTTGAAATGAAGGGGAGAGATTATTTTGAATCAATTGCTAGTTCTGCTGCTCAGAAAGTTGGTTCACTGTATCGTGCTAGACAATTTTTCTCACCTGAATCCATCTTACATATTTCTATGTCTACCATTCATCCATGCTTAGAATATAGCTGCTACACATGATCTGGTGCTCCTACTATATATATATATATAGAGAGAGATCCTTGATAACATCTAAAGAAGAATCTGCAATGTTAATGGCTCTGACCTGGTATCTTGGCTTCAGTTACTTTCCCACCACGATAATGTAGCTTCGCTCTCCCTTTACTATAAATTCTTTCAGAATAATTATTCTGATGAACTCTATGGTAGTTAGATCTCAATGCATTTAAGCACTGTACTAGATTGGCGGTTAGATCGCATCGTTTTGCAGTTGAAATGGGTAAATGTAACTATAAGTTCTATGCTAACAGTTTCTTTGCTAACATTTTCATTTGTGGAACACTCTTTCAGCTTCTTGCTTTCCGGCTGATCTTCAGATTTACGTCCAAGTTCAATGTCAGTTGTTATCCGTTTTTTGTATTGTTCTGGCTCCTTAATAATGTTTTCTTTTTATATTCTTTCATACTCAATAACTCTCTGTGTTTGTGTGAAATGATTTTTTAAAAAAAGAAATCTAATCTGAAAAGTGTTTTAACAGACAACAGAATCTGTGATTCTGAAATCCTAAAGTGAATAGTGAATTATGACCTCTAAAAGCTAAACAAGTATGTGCTCCTCGTTGCTTACTTCTGTCCCTCTTGCCTTTAATATGCCCCGTGAGGAGGCACGGTGGAGTAATGTATAGTAGCTCGGATTGAGGAATCATAGAGCCAAGTTCAAATTCCAGTCGAATCCATTACTATCACTTTCGTGCTAATACCCTTGAGAAAGGTATGAATCCTCTTCTTCTCCCCCACAGTTATGGGCAAATAGAAGGACAGACAAGGTTCTATAGCCTTGGATGGCACCTGGTCTACCACAGAAAGAAATGGCAAGAGACTGCCTTGTCAGTCATGTATCGAAAGATACATCATCACTTAAGCGTGTATAACTTGTATCACGCACGGTATATAACTGAACTGAGTGACAAATTCTCCATGCCCTCTTTCTTCATTATATACCCCCAAAACTTTCTAAGTACAAATTTATATTTTCATTTAAATACTTTGTCAATGCTCCCATATTGAGACTATGTTATTCTCAGCATCCTTTTGTAGAACCATATCTCTGTTGTCTCCTCTTCATTTGTGAAGAAATTGGCATTCACTGCCATAGAGGCCCAACACTCTTTTCTATGTTGCTGGTGAAAAGTTGGTCTCCTATACAAATGACATAGATATATTTGCTGTGTGAGAAAAATGTATTTTTGAAAAGGAGAAATTAAAATTCAAAAACTGAAAAAGGATTACAAATGACCAGACGACATAGTGGTGTTCTTCAAAGGCAGCTGAAAACAAAGCTATTCAGAATTACTGTTTTATACACCGACAAGTTGTTCTGGTATCAAAGAAACTTCAGAGAACTATACGAAACTGCAGTTAAGATAATAAATTTCATCAAACGGTAAGGGTAAAGATAAAATTTTCAACAAACATTTTCAACAAATCAGAATAACCAAGGGTTTTACAGAGAGAGAAAGTGAGAGAAAAGACTTGGTATAGTGCATATTGAAAAAAGGATAAAAGATGGACGTGGTTCAAAACAACAGAAGATGGTGATTGACGTTGATTTAAATTTTTGAAGATTGTAGTTATCAGGGAAGCAAGCAAGACTAAGGGAGTTCCACTGTCAGGCAATGATGCGGTCCTCCCAACTGATGTGAATGGTCCTTCGGAGCTTCGTTTCTGGGACCGCTCTAGATATTTGATGTCTCGACGATACAAAACCCAGGTTTTGCATGGTGGAGAGGACCACGGCCCAGAAAACTGTTGACTAATAAATAACACAAGACTCAAATCTATCATATTTAACGTTACATATTATTTTTCATTTTCATTAACCTGCCTGCATTTGTGCATGTGTGTATGGACCTGAAGCTCTCATTTTAAATTCTCATCTGCAATGTCTCAGAGCCTGTCCCATCATCTCCACACTGTTGTGAACATTTATGTAGCCACATGTTCAATGGGTATTCTTGCATGCAGGTATATCAGGTGCAGTTACACCGACATGTGCTCACCTACTGGGCTCGCTACTGACATCAAACAAATCCTGGGTCTCTACACTACCCTCGGAAGGGAGGTCATTCCAGGTCACCCCTTCATTTGACTTCTCTGAAGGACATTGGCATGAGCCATATACTCTTCTACTTTATGTGCTGTGTCCTCATAAGATGTAGACAATCATGGCTCTCCACAATTTCCTGTCATTTGTAGCTTTAATAAATTTTGTCTTTTTATTTCTCCTAAACCCTGTTTATCCATCGATTTATTCAAGCCTACTATGCATTGTTTTCCTCTGTTTCTCTTGCCTGTGAGTATCAGATTTTCCAAACCCTGTTTCCTCATTATGTGCTCTAGAAATTTCAATTGTACCTTCCTGATGTTAAGTTTCCTTTTTATTTCCATTTTCTCTAAAACTTTGTCATTGCTCACATATTCGGTCCATATTATCCTCAGCATCCTTCTGTAGAACCACATTTCTGTCGCTTCAAGTCTCTTCATCTTTGAGGAGATTGTCGATCATTCACTGCCATATAGAAGGACAGATATCACATAACAGTTCAGTACTCTTTTCTTTGTTTCTAACAAAGTATTTCTGTTTCTTAATACTCTGCTTAGCTTTTGAAATGCATCTTTGGCTATCCCAATTTGTCTTCGGAAGAGAGAATAATAGACTAAGTGGTCAAACAGTTTGAGTAGTCTGTATATTACTTACCATTATCATAAGATCCCCTTCTTTTTTACGACTAATCACTGATTCAAACCCATCTCCTTTCTGTGTTTCGACTAAACTGTTGCCATCAATTAACGTCGTGACCTGAAATGAAAGAATTTTTTAAAAATGAATTAATACCAAAAATCTTAACCAAAAAGGAGATGAAATAAAAATATTGAATATATGCATATTATTTCATCAGCAATATCTGCAGCACATAATATAGTCATTGCAAGAGAGATAATGAAATAGCTGCCAGGTGGCAGTGTCTTTTTTATAACAATGATGAATTCTTCCACAATGTTAACAAAGTCCAGTAGAAGCCTGGCTCCTTAAAATGTAGAATATAATTATGATAATTAGAAAAATATATTTAAAGTTTGAAAACCAATTTTTAATAGTAAATACTCAAAAAAATATGTTAGTATTTATATAATATTCTATGGGTCATAAAGTGAGCGATCAGTTTTCTATTGATCTTAAGCCATAAACTGATTATCCATTTTAGTACATAGTAATATAGGAATTGGAAAAATAGATTTTAAAATCACACGTGAAAAACATTTTATAATAGTAAGTACTCAACAAAATATGTAGTCATTGTACAAAACATCGGTAAATTAGTATGCATATAAGATTCTAAGGGACAAAGTGGGGGATCGGTTTTCTATAAACCTATTTTCATAAACTGATCACCAATTTTACTACATATTAATATATGAATTGAAAACCAGTTTAAAGACATGTGAATACTTTTGATAATAGTCAAAACTTAACAAAATACATTGTTATTTTACATAAATTATTATTTATTTCTAGATTCTACTAGACAGAAAGTGGGAAATTTGTTTTCTATTGATCTTAAGTCATATGCATTTTCCTATCGATTTTAACAGTACCTATGATAAATCAGCCTCTTGTTCATTCTGTTCATTTGGTCAATATGAAGAAGTTGACTATCCCCAAGGCATTGTAGTGAGCGGCAAATACCACAAGCAGAACATGACTGTATCTCTAACTCTGTATCCATCTACCGTGTGTGGCTCTTGAGACTTGTACAGAGTGAATGTTATTGTACAAAAATGCATGTGATTTCCTGCATGAGTTTGTAATTTGCCATTTTTTATACTAATGTTCACCCAATACAAATCCCAAAAGCCACTCAGTGTAGAGGCTTACTGTGTGGTGTTATATGAACCTAAGAAAATTGATGGATTGATTCGTTTTCTACGGTTTATAAACACCTTTCAGATTATTTAAAGCCAGAAAATATTTTTAGATTGAAAGATTTTATTTTGAGATAATAATGATTTAGAGATACAAGTTTTAATAATTAACCTATAGCTGCAGAAAAGATGGATTCATACCTTTCAGAAAGGTATTTGTGCAGGAATTGAAAATTGGCTCTACGATTTCCAATTCTGAGCTGTTATCAATTACACCAACCACACATCCAAGCTTACAGTATCTGGTATTCCCAATAGGCCAGCCATCTAGGTACTGACCAGACTCAACGTTGTTTAACTTCAGTGATCGTACTGGAACCAGTGTTTCAACGTGATGTGGCCGTAAGCCAAGTATAAGAAAAGGCAAGAAGTGAAATTCATGAGATTATGGAGGAAAGATAACCCTAGACTTGAAGAGGTCAAGATTGTAGGGATTTGGAAAACATGCTAGGGGTTTATTCCACAAAGTAACAATTCTTGGGAAGAAGCTGTTCAAGTGGAAGTTACCTCTTGCAAATGAATTATGAAGAGAATAAGACTGACTTCTTGTGTAAGTGACATTACGGGTCCCAGTTGCAAAGATCAAGGCTGGTGGAACCAAGGAATATACGTCGTCAGAACATTTGCCATGGATATAGCGATAGGAAAACGAGAGGCTTGCCTGTGGGAAAGGGACTGCTGGGTGGAAAATAATTGTTCGACACTAGGCCGAGTAAACTTTTTAAAAATACTCTATTAAGACAAGTGAATGAGGAATGGTTAGCTCCAATGTAGATATGGCAGAAATACTCCATTTTAGGTTTACTTCTCTTGATATGTCTGAAAATTTTACAAAGTGGTGCATGCTGCATATCATTATGTTAGGATATCTACCATTTGTGGTTCTCTGAGGACACGTTCTCAAATACATGGCGCACCCTGTATATCTTTGGATTTACATTGCATTCTATGGAAGAACATTAATAGAGGGAATTTTTTTTTATCAGAAAGGTGATTTCTTGATGTGATCGGTGATCTCTGCATGCAGCACCTTTGGAAAGTGGCTGGAAACCAAACTACAAGTTGACCAAGGAAATTAGGTGAACAGAACTATTTGGGAGACATTGATGGTTGTGCTAGCATAAAGTCACAAGTCATCATGACAGAGTTTGAGTATACTGGCTTTGTTCAAGCTGTTAATCATGCCAAATAATGTGCCCTCTCCTAAAAACTGTAACTAAGCATAGTTGCAATATAAAACAGAGGTGGGTTCTGTAGGTGTTGAACAAACACAAATGTATCTGAGCAGCGTCTGCAACAGAGACTAGCTAGCCACCTAGTAGGCAGGCATACTCGGATATGAGCGACCAGCCACCATTTATTTATTTTTGTATTTACCTTGACTACACGCCCGTCCAGCGTGGCAGAGTTATATTCTTCTCCAATTTTAAATTTTACTTCGCGTTCTCCAAGTGATGTAATAGTTTTGATTGACCAATTTCCACCATCTTGACTAATTTCCTGTTGCAAGTCAGAGTCGCTTGAAAAGTGCTTGTTTGCGATGGCCCGATTTTCGTCAGAGACACCTGAAAAACATATCAAATAATATTCTAAACACGTCAAATATCTCAGTTATAACATATTTAGCATAGAACTTCAGGAAATGGAACACAGGATAGGTTACACTCGGGACAGTTTTGTCCAACAACAAAAGCTTCTAAAAATCACAAAAAGAAAACAAACATAATATCAACCTGAAACATGAGTCATGTTGTAAAATATAACCTCCTCATAGAAAAATAGTAAGCAGCATTCCTTCTTCCCTCCAGAGACCAATGTGCAGATGATGATGAGGGCTATGCTGATGACATAGGCATTCATAGTTGATATAAATATGATCCTAAAAAAATCCAAATATTAGGACTAGATAAACCTTTTCAAAACAGAAATTATGATCTGGAATTGGAATGAAATCAGCGAACACCCGTACCCTGGATCAATCATAAAAATTCAGGATGTCAAATTAATAAATACTAAACACTTCAAATACTCCTGTGTATAGGTCAGTTATAAACAAATTTATGCAGTATAGGTTGCGCTAGGGGTAATTTTGTCCAAGACCACAAGATGCTAAAAAGATATTGACATGAAACACGATTCATGTTCTAAAATAATTTCCTCAGATCTAGACTCTCATATGGATGTCATGTGCGACATCTAACTCATTCAGAAATGTCAACATTATCAGCGAAATACAACCGTTTTCTCATATTGATGATTAAAATGATTTCAAATAAATAAATATTAGGTTGTTACACACAAAATGATGCATTTTATGGTTGGTTGCTGATCCTGTTATCGAACGAAGTAACCTCCTTAGTATATCAAAAATATTGACTTTTTCTTCCCCAGATGATTTTTCTTTCAATATATTGTTACTCATAAGCCCAATGAAAATGATTTCATGCAATGAGAAATGACAACAGTAAGAGAAATGACAACAGTAAGAGAGAGATAAGTGGGTCAGTGGTAAGATGCAAGTGAATCACCAAAACATTACACAAAACCTCCATTGTACCCTAAAAAGTTAATAGTTACTGTGTGGTGGTCTTTCAAAGGGGTTATTCATTATTAATTCTTGCCTCAAGGGAAAACAATAACAGCAACCTCATATTGTGGAAAAATTGTGTGTATGCATGAAAAATTGAAAAATATTCTAGGGTTGTGACTAGGGATGACCCCAATTTCGATGCACGACAACGCACGGCCGCACGCTTCTCAATCAATTGTCCAAAAGCTGCCTAGCCTGAATTATGAAAGTTTGCTTCATCCTCTATATTCACCTGATATCTCTCCTACTGATTATCAGTTATTTAAGCATTTTGAGTTTCCATATGCAATAAAACATTCTCTAATAAGGAAGAGGTAATTGAAGCATTTGAACTGTTTATCACATCAAAGGGTGAGTATTTTTTTAAATATAGGATCAAGAATTTAGAGGTATGTTGAAGAACAGTCATTCTAATGACAATTTTATACTTTCAGAAGAAACATATGTTTTTCTTTTAGAGATATAGTTTATAGATAATAAGATGCGTTGTACTTTCTTTTATAAGTGCTGGAAGCGGCCTATTTCTTTAAGGTAGCCTATTATTTGAGAAACAGATATATTTTTAAAAGCATGGTAAGGTTTTGTGCATCATAGTTTTTGTTGCACTTTTTTTCAGTTTATTAGGTTATACATAACAGTGAGAACGTATTAACGTCTTACAAGAGATGCACCGAGGGGCAGTTTCTGTTTTGAGTAAGTATTTGTGTGTAAGATATGTTTTCTGTTTTGAGTAAGTATTTGTATGTATGTCCAATTCAGACTCTGTTTAGAACTATGTCCTGTCTTTGATCAGGTAATGTTTCTTTATTTTTCATTCTGAATGTTGGCTGATGTTTATACAATTTGTTGTCTAAAAATGTATCCCAAATTGTTTGCCATTTTCTTTTAACGTATTGTGGGATTTTATTTTTGTAATTTGTCTAATCTTGGCTATTGTTATTTTGGTAACCTCCTTTGCCAGTGCATCAGTGTTTTTGATCTCCCTTGTCCCAGAAGCCAGGCGAAGATTACCACTTTGTAGGCTTCTTTCAAATTGTGACAGGCTTCCAATATTTATTGTTCTCCATAAACTGATAAATACACAAACCGAACCAAAGTTCAGTTCGAAATAAGAATTGTACGGACTCAGCTGTGACGCACTTAGTTTGCAAAGAAATCGGTCATGCCTAATTATCATTAGCTAGATTGAAATGTCACAATCGGACTTATATGTGTGAATATCAGATTGAAGTTTACCATCAACGGGAAAATTTTGTTTGTAATCATAAGCAAAATAAGAACAAGACTACTCTAACAGGGCATGGGAAAGTATATAATATCAAGTATGAAATAACTGGATAAAAAAATGTTCAAAGGGAATTCATTTGTCAGCAGCATAATTGAGCCTTCAAGAGCCTTTATTGTTTTATAAGTCATCAAAATATATATATATATATATATATATATATATATATATATATATATATATATATAGAGAGAGAGAGAGAGAGAGAGAACCAGAAAGAGACCGACAGACAAAGATAAATGTATACATACAAGTCATGGGGGAAGATAATAGTGAGCATGTCTCCGCTGGTTGACATTTATCAGAGATTTTCGTCCTGTAAATGGGTGCCCCATACAACATTCAATATTGAATAATTCAAAAGTTAACGTTGTAAAATTAGACTAACAACAGATAGATAGATAGATACGTAGATAGATAGATGCAGAATAATTATTGATAATATTATTACATATATATATATATATATATATATATATATATATATATATATATATATATATATATATACTTGCTTGGGGTGAAACTCTTAAAAGAATGTATATATGTGTATATATATATATGTGGCTGGAAGCCACTAGGATGCAAGGGGTTACAGAAAATTTGGAGCAAGATCAGATAGGAGTGATAGAAAAAAGGATGAGGAGAAGGGTAGTGGATAGATCAAGGCAACTGGAGATGTCGATTGACATTACATTTGAATAGCTGGAGATTATAGCTCTCAGGGATACTGGAATAGGGAAGGGAGTTCCACAGGCGAGAGGTGCAAGACATGAAGCTATTGGAGTAGAAGAGACGGCTACATTTAGGAGTTCCGACAGTGAAGAGGTGAGAGCCGGATGCCAGCCTCGTATGGCGCTTGAACTCATGAAGTCTGGGAACCAGCGAATGCAGCTCCTCGCAGCAATTGCCATGAAAGTATTTGTAAAACAGAGAGAGAGGCGACGGCGCATCTGTGAGAAAGTGACTGTAGATGAGATGCCAGATCAGGGCCAATTATATTGCATATCCGCCTCTGGAGCCTATCAAGCCAATTCACGATTTGATAGGAATGATTGTATTAGGTCAAACAATCGATCCGTAATGCCATAACCTTGGAGCTTGCGAAGAAAGCCGGCATGCCAAACCCTATCAAATGCTTTGGAGATGTCTAGGGCTACGGCACGAGCTTCCCCGTTATTTTGAAGAGCTCGGTAGACAGTTTCAGTGATGGCCATAAGCACATCTTCTGTAGATCGGGCAAAGCGGAAGCCATATTGCTTGTCTGAGAGTAGATCATTGGATGTGAGGTGGTTAACCACCTCGGTATTGATTAGGGCTTCGAAGACTTTGCCGAAGAGGGGTAGGAGACTGATAGGACGGTAGTTAGAAGGGTAAGAGGGGTCGCCAGTCAATAGGGCTTCAGTTCTAAGTAGGAAGTCGGGTATGTGTACACCGGAAGAGTCGAGCGTGGAGTTGAATGAAAATTTCC